TTCTTCTTCTTCTTCTTCTTCTTCTTCTTCTTCTTCTTCTCCTCCTCCTCCTCCTCCTCCTTGCCCTCTTCCTCCTCCTTTTTTTTCTTCTTCTTGTTCTTGTTCTTCTCCTTCTCTTCTTCCTTTAGGACAATTTGCTAATTTTTCTTTGGTTTTTATAATTTTTGAGGAAAATAGAGATTATAATATGAGCAGTAGGTTATGGACTTAATAAAAAGTTCCTGCTATAAACAAAAACTGATATTATAGTACCAACAGCTCCTTCTAGAAGCACTGACAGGAAAAATTTCCTTACAGTTCTGGTTTTTTATGCTAAGGATTTGAATATTCACAGAAAAATTCAGGAGAATATTTTATTTACATTTATTGGAACTTTCCTTATGTTTAACTCACATTCACATGGTTTTTATGTGCAAAAATTGCACCTTCAGGTAATAGGATGAAAATATCTCATATTCTTATTCAGTGTGATTTCTCTGACCTTTCAAAAGTGCTCCTTAATATGCAAAAATATATGTTATCTGTAGGAAAACAAACATCAAGAGAATGGAAAACACAAGTTCACCATTAATTTCTAAATATGCAGATGTTTGAAATCATTGACAGTCTGACTTCTTGTAGACAGAACCTTAGACAGCTCATTCCTGCTCTGTTTCTGTAGGTAGGATGTAGAAATAGGTGGAGTGAAATGTAGCATGAATGTAGAATAGAGTGACAGTAACTAGAGAGCAATTGTAAGTAATTATAATAGCTCCCTCTTTTTAAATCATTTCCAAGTGACTAGTTGAGATTGATGGCCAATCCACTAGAAGAGATGAGAATAAAATTGTTCTTAACTGTTGAAAGTAAGATGAAGGTAATTTCACTTCAAAGCACAGATATCTTTCAATCATTTGTTAACAGAGATCTGTGATTGTTTCTGGTGGTTCCTGCAGCAATCACTAGATTTATTTGTGTTCTTTGGAGAGAATATTTGGTATTAAGGTAAGTTATTTGGTTAGATCAGTGACACACTCAGGATAGTGTTCCACCTCTGTCTGTGCTCTCAAACAATGTATCACAGGAAGAACATGGCTATTACCTTCAAAGTTTAGTAATTCATCCTCCAAATCCTTTTATAATAAACTTTCATGCCATTTGTGAATTTCTAAATGCTCTTCTTGAATACAGTATGTAGTCTTTACAACTACATAATGTAACAAGGCCCTTATGTTGCCTTGATGTATAAAATAAAAATTTACTTTGTTTTAAATTATAATTATGAAGATTCATGGAATGCCCAGTATTCAGGAATTTTAGTGAACAAATTTTTTTTTTTATATTTACACCTTCCATAGACTTTGTATCCCAGTACAGTTTTTATAATTTCACACCAAAGAGTTCTAACCTTTTAAATTTATCATTGCATGAAAATCCCTGTATTTGATAATTTTCATTGACCTTCCAGGATTATGTTGTATATTTCTTTTTTTGGTGGGGGGGATTAGGCAATGGGGTTAAGTGACTTGCCCAGGGTCACATAGCTAGTAAATGTTATGTGTCTGAGGCCAGATTTGAACTCAGGTCCTCCTGAATCCAGGGCTGGTGCTCTATCCACTGTGCCACCTCACTGCCCTATTATGTTCTATATTTCTTATGGTATGGTCTCTAGAGTATGAGCTGTGTAATAGTCTGTATGCCTCTTGCTCTCTATAAGCTAAATCTGGAGAAGCCACCATCAGGTTTACTGCAGGGTTATGAATTTTTCAGATCTAGCAACTTTTGGAGACTATCTGTTGAACCTTAGAAAGACTGTTATTTTGATTTTATGGCAGTTAAGTGGCACAGTGGCTAAAATGCTGGGCCTGAAGTCAGGAAGACTCATCTTCCTGAGCTCAAATCTAGCCTCAAACACTTACTGTGTGACTTAACCCTATTTGCCTCAGTTCCTCATCTGTAAGATGAGCTGGAAAAGGAAATGGCAAAACACTCCAGTATTTTCGCCAAGAAAACCCCAAATAGGGTCAGGAAGAGTTGGAAATGACTGAACAACAATGACATTTTGATTGTGAAGGGAATACTCAGATGGAGGAAATTACAGTCTTGTAGTATTCACATGTGAAATAAACAAAATGATTGGAATATCATTAAACACTATAAAAAGAATGATTCATTATAATTTTAGTTGTAGGAATCAGGCTAATTGCACATGAATTTTAATTTGGAGGTTACAATTGTTGATTAAAAGATCTTTTAGTTGGCTTTGGAGGACCAGTAATCTAACAGAGTAGCAGATCTTTATTACACATATTTTTCTTTTTCCCTCCAAAGGAAAACAAGCTTTTATTATTGCTACAGAAACAACCAGAATCTGTCACAGAACTAGCTTAAGAAATTATGGAAGAGAACAGATCCTTTTGGAGCAAGTCTTAATCATGTTTTTATGACTAAAAACAAAATTTATCTGCATGAGTAGTGAAGGCCCTACCCTACACATTTTAAGTGTTTGTTGAAAGATTGCCTGAAAATTTGATTGCTAAGGCTAACACTGATTAGAAATCTGTTAACTTTACTCTCTCTGTTATGCATTTCACCCACAGAGTTTTCTACAATGGTGTTCTATTTTTTGGTGTGTGTGTGTATGTGTGGGGCAAAGTACTATCCTAGTAGTGGAGGAAGTGTACAAAGTGGAAAGAGTTCTAAAATTCTATCTCTAATCTCTATATCTTTGTGACTCCACTGTGGAATGCGTTCTCTCCTCACCTCTGCCACTTAGAATCCTAATTTTCCTTCAAAGGTTAGCTCAAGTTCTACTTCCAACATGGGATCTTTCCTGATACCCTGAAGCTGCCTTCCCAATTATTTTGCATTTATTTTATATGTAAGTTGATTTCCCAAGTAGAATGTAAGCTCACTGAGGGCAGGGAACTTTTGACTTTAGTTTTTAATACCCACAGTATCTAGTACCATGCCTGTAACAGTAGTAGCTGGCTCTTGATCAGTGTCAGAAAGAACTAGGCTCAAATCTTATCACTGACAGTTATAATGTTACGCTGATCATGTCATGTCTCAGCCAACTGCTCAGGATTTAGCAGTCTTTGATAGGGTTGTGGTTTGATTCAATGGATCAATCTCACCACACTGAAACCATAAGTCCTTTTGATGCTATTTTAGTAACTTTTTAGAAAAGTCTGTTTCTTGTTCCTCATGATACCTTTTCTCTGGAAATGCATTCTTTTCCTTTTTTCAGTTTTATACTTTTCATGCTGATTATTTTTAGTTTCAAATGAATGTGGTACTTCACTGCTTTTAGGTGTTTATTTGAATGTCTTCAAAACATTGTTGCTATGAATGGAACACATGTGGAAGGAAACCTGGATAATAGTTTATAATTAAAAATTTTGTTAGGAATTTTCATTTCTTCTAGGAACAAGTGGCTGAAATTTCTAAAGGCAGAACATTAACACAAACTCCTTTTCTTCATAAATTCAACTTTTAAAAGTCAGACCAATTTTGGATCTTTGAAGACAAAGATATTCAATAGTAAAAAGATATTCTTGGCTGCAAACACAGTGCTGAATATTCTTATGAAAGTGAATTATGACAAATTTTAAATTCTTAATATTATTCTGACATGTGGCCATATCAGGGCTAGTGTTTGCCTAGTAATGAATTACTTCATTTAATCCACTACATTCATAACTACTGACAATATAAATGTTCCAAATTGCATATTTACTTTTCTTTGCAATCAAGCACATTCCTTGATTGCAAATTATTTGGAGATTTTAAAATTATACAAACTCATCTTTATTATATCCCAGTTATTTACTATAAGCCCAGTTATGGGTAGAATTAAAAATACAATGCCATATGTCAACACAAATTGTTCCTGTCACCTTGTTGTCTATGATCTTTCTAAAGCATTTGACAATTTTGGACATTTTCCTCCCTCACCTGTGGAAACTCTCCTCTCTTGGCTTTTATGGCACTATACCATCTCCATTATTTCTCTGTCTATGTCTCTTTATCTGTGTCTGTCTGTTTGTCTGTCTGTCTCTGTCTCTATCTGTCTGGTCTCTGTCTGTCTGTCTGTCTCTCTCCTGAATTCTTCACTAGCTCCCATGTACCAAATGTAGACATTTCTTCAAGTTCAGTATTTTTGTTCTTGCTCTCATCTCTGGAAGTTTCTCAGTGAACTCAGCCATACTCATGGTTTTGTGACTCCTAGATTTTCTTTAGCTTTGTTTCTTACCTAACTTTCCATTCTCTCACCACATACCATCATGTACTTTTCATTTAGTTGTTCTGTCATGTAGTTAAATATTTCCAAATCATCTTTCCTTATAAGGCAACATTGATTTCCACTTTACTGGTCTCTGTTAATAACATCACCATTCTCCCTAATGCCTAGACTTGACAACTACATAAATTTTAATTTTTATGCCAATATCTAATCATCTTATACTCCTGCAGCATCTTTGACATTTATCTCTGTGGATCTATTATGTGATAAACAAAATTATAAATTCATTCATCACTACTGATGACACTATCTTTTTTCCTCAGTAACTCTTTTATCAAATTTTATTCCTCTATATCTTTCAGATTTTTCATTTATCTCCCTTTTTAATTTTAATATGGTATCTTTAATCCAGGATCTCATAATTTTCTATCCCTCCAGTCTATCCTGTTTACAGCCATACGAAATTTTCTTAAAGTTCCTTTTTCATTATATCACTTCCCTTCTCAATAACCCAAAATTATTCTCCATTGTCACTAGATGAAAGCCAAATTCCCTAACCTTCAAGACATGTCTTTTGGAGAAACAATTAGCTCATAGTCATGTATGTTCTAGCAGTTCACGGGACATCCCAGCTCATACTGAGTAGTTTCTGAAAGCCATCACCAGCGTGAAAAGCAGGCTTAACTACTCCCTGACACATTACCTTCTCTCTGTCCCTTTGCATGGGCAAAGTAGTTTCCTCATTTTTTTTAAGGCAATTGGGGTTAAGTGACTTGCCCAGGGTCATGCAGCTAGTAAGTGTCAAGTATTTGGTCTGAGGCTGGACTTGAACTCAGGTCCTCCTGACTCCAGGGCCAGTGCTCTATCCACTGCAACACCTAGCTGCCCCATTCCCTCATTTTTATGTCTTATTATTTTCCACCTGTATAGAATTCCCTTTTCTTTGTCCACCAATTCTTCAAGATGTAACAAAAACCTCATTGCTACTTTTTTGATAATTCCAGCCAACACTGGTCTCTCCCCTTCTTGACTGCCCAGCCATAGTCTGCTGCATACGTTGACTCTCCATAATATTCTGTTCAACCTTTTATGATATTTGGGCTGGTATTATTCTCATAGAATTTCATATATACTTAGGATTGTATGGTGCAATATATGTAGTTATAATCTATCCAAATTCTATTGGATCTATCCAAAAAGTTTACATTCACCTTGAAATCAGGAACTAGATACAGAATATACATATTGATTTCCACAACAGCCCCTAGTGTATTTCTCAACAAAGTAACTGTTCCAGAAATAGTTGTTGAAATGGAAAACAGTGAATTCAGATTTTGGATTTACATATTCTTCACACTATTTATAATCAAAGGAATTGTGGGCTTTGTATATTGGTTACTTGAAACAGAAATTTTAGGATATATTTCTTTTAATACATAAAATTGATGTTGATATGCTTTTTATAATAGCATTTGCTAATCATATTGGTAGGTGGGAAAATGAGGGTTTTCTTTTTCATAGAATGAATAGGCTAGTTGAAATTGAATGAGATTGAAGTTGAGAAGAGGGTTTGTTAATTGGGACCAGAGAAAGCAAATTTCTGAAACACTCTGTTCCTTAAACATACAACTGACTTTAATAGGACTTTCTAGATTTTCTTTTCTTCCTAAGGATAAGGAGAAAAGAAAGTGGAAACTATATCTGAATATCCACAGAAATAAAAATTAGCATAAGTCTAAATCTTTCTCAAGACTTTGTATGAAGTATTCAAGAGCAGAGGAAGCATGGAAAATGATCTCCAAAACATATCTTTTTTCAGCTTATCATCAAAACCAGACTTGCAAAACCAAATCTCAGGTAGATGTGCAGACCAGGAATGATTTTTTTTTTTTTTTGCATACTGGAATGAAACATTCCTGGGTCTCTTTCTTAGGTTCAGACCCACCATTCACATTACATATGGTCTTACCTTACATTTTGATGCAAGAAGTATTCCAATTTCCAAGTCCATCCATGATGAGGAAGGACAGGGATTGAGGGGTGGGGGGCAGATTCAGGCAGATTTTAAAGGGCCAGTTTTGAGATATGTATTTAAGTATACCCGTAAATCAGATATGTTGTATTTTTGCAAAGATAATTTTTTAAATCAGATACACTGTTCAAGAATCTCCAAGCTAGACAAATAAAAATTGGAAACACTGCAGGAGTAGATGAAGGCTATATAATTCAAATAAATTGTTAAAGCCAACTGACCACATGGTGTCGCTGTCCACCAAAAGCTATTTTCTAACAAAGAAGGGAGAGCAATCTTCCTATTTAAAAGGAAAAAAAAAGCTGTCCACACCCTTCTATTTCTTCTTTCCTGACAATATTCTGAGAGCTCTCATTGCTCTGCTATTGAATTCAAGGACTTTAGGAACAGTCATCCGCTTTATTCCTGGAATTTTTAGAGTAACAGATAAATGATTGAGGCATCTGAAAAGGATTTGCGATGATAGACTGGAAGACAGGCGGCCTGGGAGCCCAGCATCTGCTGTTCTCGGTTCTGCTTCACACAGCCTGCAAGATGGGGAGCTGCCAGGTACATTACTCGGTGACGGAAGAAGCGAAACACGGTACGTTTGTGGGGCGAATCGCGCAGGACTTGGGTCTGGAAGTCGGGGAGCTGGTGTCGAGGCTGTTCCGGGTGGTGTCCAAAGGTCGCCGGGACTACCTGGAGGTAAATGTGCAGAATGGCATTTTGTTTATGAATTCACGGATCGACCGCGAGGAACTGTGCGGCCACAACCCTGTTTGTAGCATCCACCTGGAGGTGATTGTGGAGAAACCGCTGCAGGTTTTCCATGTGGAGGTGGAGATCAAGGACATTAATGACAACCCTCCTGTGTTTTCCTTAAGACAAAAGAATCTGTTTGTTTCTGAATCCAGCCCACTAGACTCTAGGTTCCCACTAGAGGGCGCATTGGATGCGGATATTGGAGAGAATGCTTTGCTGACCTATAGCCTCAGTCCTAATGAATATTTCGCTTTGGATGTAAAGAAAAAGGATGAGAAAATGAATTCCCTTACGCTTGTTTTGAAGAAAGCTCTAGATAGAGAGGAAACCACTGAACATCATTTGTTACTGACTGCCACTGACGGAGGAAAACCTGAGCTCACTGGTACCATTCAATTGCTGATCACAGTGCTGGATGTGAATGACAATACCCCAGAGTTTGAGAGGACAGTTTATAAGGTGAGATTATTCGAAAATGTACCGAATGACAGTTTAGTAACGAAAATGAATGCCTCAGATTTGGATGAAGGATTAAACGGGGAAATTATTTATTCGTTCACTAGTGATGTTTCCTCTAACGTACAGAACAAGTTCCACATAGACCAAGTCAATGGTGAGATCAAGATAAAGGGAAATATAGATTTCGAAGAAACAAAATTATTTGAATTCCAGGTAGAAGCAACTGATAAGGGGACTCCTCGCATGGTTGGCCATTGTACAGTCCTGGTCGAAATCATGGATATCAACGATAATGCCCCTGAAGTTGCGGTGACATCACTATCACTTCCTGTCAGAGAAGATGCACCCTCTGGTACAGTCATTGCCTTAATCAGCGTGTCTGACCGTGACTCCAGTGCTAACGGGCAGGTGACTTGCTCGCTGTCGCCTCCTGGGCCGTTCACGCTGGTGTCCACTTTCAGGAATTACTACTCGCTGGTCCTGGAGGGTCAGGTGGACCGCGAGACTGTGCCTGCCTATGAACTGGTGGTGACAGCCAGGGATGGCGGGACGCCGGTTCTGTGGGCCACGGCCAGCGTGTCAGTGGACATCGGAGACGTGAATGACAACTCACCTGCCTTCCAGCAGCCTGTGTATACTGTGTTTGTGAAGGAGAACAACCCTCCCGGCTGTCACATCTTCACTGTGTCGGCCTCCGACCCGGATGCGCAGGAGAACGCTCTGGTGTCTTACTCTGTAGTAGAACGCCAGGTAGGCGAGCGTCCACTGTCGAGCTACGTGTCTGTGCACTCAGAGAGCGGCAAACTGTACGCTTTACAGCCCCTGGACCACGAGGAGCTGGAGCTGTTGCAGTTCCAAGTGAGAGCCCGCGACGCAGGCTTCCCTCCTCTGAGCAGCAACGTGAACCTGCAGGTGTTCATACTGGACGAGAACGACAATCCACCTGTAGTGCTGCCACCTCACGCTGGCGTTAGCCCAGTGACTGAACTAGTGTCGCAGTCGGTGACTGCAGGCCATGTGGTGGCGAAGATTCGGGCTGTGGATGCAGATTCTGGTTACAACGCGTGGCTGTCCTACGAGCTCCTGTCGGAGGTGGGCGTTGGGCGCAGCCCTTTTCAAGTAGGTCTGTACACTGGCGAGATAAGCACGACTAGGGCCTTGGAGGAATTTGATGGGCCGAAACAGATGCTGCTGGTGTTGGTGAAGGATCACGGGGATCCTGTGCTGTCTGCCACAGCTACTCTGATGGTATCCCTGGTGGCAAGCGGACAAACCCTGAAGACGTTTAGTGCAGGCCATGCAAAAATGAAAGAGGGGATTAGGAAAGAGGCACAGCTGGTGGATTTTAACGTGTATCTGATCATAGCTATCTGCTCGGTTTCCAGTTTGTTGGTGCTGAGTTTGCTGTTCTATATGGCAATGCGGTGCTCTGCGCCTCTGGAGAGCCTCTACTGTCCAAGAAAGCCAACAGTAGTGTGTTCGAGTGACGTGGGGAGCTTATCTTATTCTCAGCAGCTGCAGCCGAAGATTTGCTCTGGAGAGGGAGCCACTAAGAGGGACCTAATGGCCTACAGCCCCAACTTCCCCTCTTGTTTGGGGGACAGAGGTCAGCAGCAGGAGATGGTTTCAGAAACTGGGAAGGTAAGTCTTGATTCCTACATCTGAGATAGTCTTAATTAGCAAATTTTTAAAAGTTTGAAAAATTCTCACAAATATTTTCTATCTCCCCTCTCCCCGGAAGTTTCATTGTCCATTTCACAAACATCTAATGTTACATTAAATTTCCCTTTGTGACGTCGGGATTTCTTAGAGATGTAAGTGGTATTTGAATGATAATGAGCATACTCAAGTTATGCTGTTGGGGATAGTTTTAGTCCTTTGAAGTGCTGACTTCATTTTTCCATGAAAAGATGTATTGATGTATACCAGAAGTAAAAATTTCCCTTGTATAAACTGTATGCTGTTAAAAATTTTGCACCTTCCTCTAGGAACTACCCTTCTCCACCAACTTGACAACATGATTACATCAATCTGTGTATTACCTTCCGTGCTATATTTTGCAATCCATCCATACCTCATACTTTGCATTTCTTATATATAACCTCCCACAATCCTCCAAAGAGGATCTATACTCAACATGGGAAAGCCATTTATCTAAGTCTTTACATTTAGTGAGTACCAGTAAAGAATTTGGGCTCTCTACCAATTATCTCTCAGCCTTAACATAGGAATATATTTCTACCTTGTTCTGGAGTACTTTAACTCCTCTCCCTACCCAACCCCCAAGGCTTTTCAGCTTCCTTTTGTGTGTTGTCTTCCCCTATTAGGATGTAAGTTTCTTTAGAGCAGGAACTGTCTTCTTGTATTTGTATTCTAAGTGCTTAGCACAATGTTTGGCATATAGTAAGCACTTAGCAAATACGTGTTGACTTGAATTGCCAGTTAGTTTTTCCACTAATATATTTTCTGGCTGATACCTGTATCAACACTTAATTTGCATGGAAGGAATATGCAACCTCTTGATGCCCATGGTACATTTTGCTATCGCTCTTTGGGAAATGAATAATTTTTATTTTTCAGAGATTGTAGTGTTTACTGATTTACAGTGTCATTTGTCAAACGGTGTTAAAAGAATGGGTTTTTGTGTTGGGGAGCAGTTTGGAATCATGCAATTTCACTAATACAACTCATCTCATCTCTCTATTCTATTATTTTTATTTAATCCTGGTCTCAGCTCATAGTCTCAACTCATTGTCCATGTATAGTTCTCACAAAACTGAATAATACAGGAGGCTCTTAGTTAAACTGCTTGTCTAGGGTGGCTTTGATTCTTTCATTTTTCCTTTGTGGACTGTTAGGCTAATCTCTTTAGTGTGGCTGTAGATGGTTTTGAGGGTCCTGTATTCTTTCTGGGGCTTCAGAATCAATCAGCAGAATGTCTTCAGAAAACAGTAGCATCTGGAGGACTTTGCCTTTTTAGGAATCTCTTTAACAAATACTATTCAGAAAAATCTTGCTGTTTTAAAAATATTTTTATTGTTGAAAATGTTTCATAGTAAAATCATTCTATTTTTTCCTATTCCTGGAGTATGACTTCTGTTCTCACCTGAACCTCACCAATAATCCTTTCTGCATCACCATCAAAAAAGTTGGCCACCCACCCTTCACTTTTGTGTCTTGAGTGAGGGGAAACCCACTACCTCCCCAGACAATCTATTCCATTTTTGTATAGCTGGAATTTTTAGGAAGGTTTTCCTTACAAAAAGTATAAACATTCCTCTCAGTAATTTCTACCAATTGCTTCTATTTCTGGAACTGTCTGTAAGGCTAAAAAATCTGATCTCTTTTCACCATGACAGTCCTTCAGATGCTTAAAGATAGCTTTCATGTTTTTCCTTAAGTTTTCTCTTCTCTTCTTAGTTCATTAAAACAATCCTTAAGTTGCAGTTTCCAGTCCATTACCAATGGTGGTTACCTTCCTCTGGATGCTTTCTGGTTTATTAGTATGCTTCCTAAAATATGACCTTGGGAGCTGAACACTATATTCCAGATGTTCTCTAACCAAAGAGGAGAGAACAGACCTTCATTTTAGTGTTATTGACACTAATTTTCTGAATGCAGCCTAAAATTTAATTAACTTTATTCACTCTCATATTGCACTATTAACTCATCTCTTTGAAGTTGACCAGAATTGCCAGTTCTTGCTCATGGAAACTGTTTCTGTTGATGTCTTTTTATTTTTGTAAAGCTGATTTTAGAAATCCAAATGTAGAGCTGTTCAATAACCTCTATTAAATGTCATCTAACTAATTCAGTCATTTTCCTATCCTGTAGGCATCTGCTTGGATCTATAAATTCTCATACAATGCATTAGCTATTCATTCAGATTTATGTCTTCTGAAAATCTGATAAGCATGCCATTTTAGTCATTGATGAAAATGTTAAACAGAACCAAGAATAGGTCCCTGAAGCTCCCCACCAGAGACTTAAGTCCAAAATGACATCAAGCCATTAATGACTATTGTTGACATCTAGTCATGTAGCCAATTCTGAATTCACCCAACTGTACTACTAACTTGACCACATTATTTCACCTTGTCAATTGAGATAGCATGAGAAACTTTGTCAAATGCTTTATAGTAATCTAGTCAAACTGTGTCTGTCCAATTATCCTATCTTAAGGTCTAATAACCTGTCAAAAATGGATATGAATTAGTCTGTAAATCATGATGGCTCTAAGTAATTGCCACTTTCATTTCTAGATACAGGCTAAGCATTTCCATAACAATATGTTCTAAATTCTTAGTAGGCATTGAAGTCATGTTCACCAGCTTATGTTTTGAAGACTTCATTCTATTGCCATGTTCTAAAAATAAGGGCAACACTCTCCATTTCTGTGACATCTCTCATTCTTTATGATCTTTCAAAAATTACTGCCACTATCTCCATAATCAAAATTGTTAATTCTTTCAATAGTACGAGATTCAGTTCACAAAGGCTGGGTGACTTGAATTGATCATTTGCATTTAGATGGTTTCTTATTATTTCCTTACTCATCTTCAATTTTCACTCCTTGTTAACCATATTTCATGCTGTCCCTTTCAGTCCAAATCTCATTCTTGTTGGTAGAGAAAACTGAAGAAAAGTAAGGGTTGATTACTTCCGCTTTTCTGAAATCGTGTGTTATCATTGTCTAGTCTGTTGTGAGGAATGCTATAATCCCTTCTTTGATCCTTCTTTTCCATCCATAATAGAGTAAAATGTTTTCAGCTTGTCCTTCATATTCTGCCAAAACTACAGATGAAAGACATTTAACAGTCATTTCAAAATGTAGGGCTGGAACTTAGGAGAGTCATTATAGGTGGATTGTAGATTTGGGAGTCAAATGCTTTCAGATAATTGAACCCATAGGAATATTACCAAAAAAAATTCTATAAAGGCAAGACAATAAGGTCCAGTTAATCCAGAAAATCAGCAACTTAAGGTATTTCCTTCAGCACTGCTTCTTTTCTCCTTTATTTTTCCCTAGTGTTCTCAGACATATACATTTCCTGTATATATACTTTTCAATGACTCAATTAATTATCCTTACTGATTGCAACTTATTTATCACCAATATTTTTAAAAAAACCACATTGAGAAAGGTGAAGAGATGTTTTCTCTTCGTCCTCACATTGTTTAGATACTTTGGATCCTTCCTACTTCCCTACCATATTGTATGTACCATATATGTTGGAGATCACTTGTTTTAAGATCTTTGAGTGGATGGACTACTTAATCACCTATTCTGATATTACATGAATCTAGTGCAGTCCTTTGCACATAACCACTTAAATGTTTGTGGATTTGAATTTTTCTTAGTGAGCAAAGACTCCATTCCTTCTACACCAGGTGATAGAAAACATTGAAAAAGATAATATTGCTTTCTGAAATCATGAGAATAATGGTCTTATGTTTCAATAGAGGCTCAAATATGGGGAAATAAAGTGTAGATATTATTGTTTACTGCAAATACTACAATGGAAATTACTGAATTAAATCTGTGTACCATTTCCTATTGTCCACATGATGTCGCTGCCTATCACAAATGGTCTCCTCACAAAAGGCCAAATCTCACATTAAACATTAGATCTATTCAGTCGGGGATGCTGAAAGATGGTGGATGCAGTAGAATGGGTTTGAAAGAATCAGAGAGCAATATTTACCTTTACTCTCTTAAGATGATTCATTAATTAGAACAATTCCACAGAGGACTTGTGATGTTTTTTTCTGGACAGGCAGCCTGGGAAGCCGGCATCTATTGCTTTCATTTACACTTAATACAGCCTGCGGGGTGGGGAGCGGCCAGGTCCATTATTTGGTACCGGAGGAAGCGAAACATGGTATGTTTGTGGGGCGAATTGCGCAGGACTTGGGTCTGGAGGTCGGGGAGCTGGTGTCGAGGCTGTTCCAGGTGGTGTCCAAGGGCAGCAGGGACTACTTGCAGGTAAATGTGCAGAACAGCATTTTGTTTGTGAATTCAAGGATCAATCGGGAGGAGCTGTGCGGCCAAAATCCAGTTTGTAGCATCCACCTGGAGGTGATCACGAACAAACTACTGCAGGTTTTCCATATGGAGGTGGAGATCAAGGACATTAATGACAACTCACTCTTGTTCCCAGTGAAGGAACAAAAGCTGTTTATTCCCGAATCCAGGTTGCCAGACTCTAAATTTCCGCTAGAGGGTGCGTCTGACCCTGCTGTTGGGAGTAACACCTTGCTTACGTACTCACTCAGCATCAATGATTACTTCATTCTAGATGTAAAATCAAAGAACGATCAAGACAAATTGGTTGAGCTAGTGATGAAAAAACAAAACAAAACAAAACACTAGACAGAGAGGAAGTTCCTGAGCATCACTTAATACTGACAGCCACAGGTGGGGGCAAACCTGAACTCACGTGCACAGTGCAGCTGCTCATCACGGTCCTGGATGTGAATGATAATGCCCCCACTTTTGAACGATCCGAATACGAAGTGAAGATATTAGAAAAAGCAGCCAGTGGGACCTTAGTGATCAAATCGAATGCCTCTGATGCGGATGAGGGCATCAGTCAGGAGATATTATACTCTTTCAATAGTCTTGCTACACCTGCTATTAAAGACACGTCTTATAAATCCAGATACAGGAGAAATTACATTTCAAAGAAAGTTGGACTTCGAATATGTAAATTCATATACACTTAGAGTTGACGCAACAAATAAAGGGAACCTGCCCATGGTTGGACATCCGAGTGGACGTCCAGGATACCAATGATAATGTCCTGAAGTTGGCGGTGTCATCACTGTCAATTCCTGTCAGAGAGGATGCTCTACCAGGCACAGTTATCGTCCTTATCAGTCTGTTGGACCGTGACTGTGGAGCCAACGGACAGGTTACTTGCTCGATGTCACCCTCCTCGCCCTTTCACGTTGGTGTCCACTTTCAGGAAGTACTACTCGCTGGTGCTGGAGAGCTCCGTGGACCGTGAGAGCATGCCGGCCTATGAACTGGTGGTGACAGCGAAGGATGGCGGGTCTCCAGCGCTTTGGATCACTGCCAGCCTGACTGTGGGTATCGCTGACGTTAACGATAACGTGCCTGCCTTCGAGCAGCCTTTGTACACCTTGTTCGTGAAAGAGAACAATGCACCAGGCCGTCACATCTTTACAGTGTCTACATTGGACCCTGATGCTCAGGAGAATGCATTAGTGTCTTGCTCCCTGGTGGAGCGGTGGGTTGGGTAACGTCCTCTATCGAGCTACTTGTCTGTGCACTCGGAGAGCGGCAAAGAGTACGACTTGCAGCCGTTGGACCACGAAGAGCTGGAGCTGCTGCAGTTCCAGGTGAGCGCCCGGGACGCAGGCTTCCCTCCTCTGAGCAGCAACGTGAGCCTGCAAGTGTTTGTGCTGGACAAGAACGACAACGCGCTGGTTGTGCTGCCGCCTCACGCTGGCTTTAGCCCAGTGACCTAAGTGGTATCACAGTCCGTAGCTGCGGGCCACGTAGTGGTGAAGATCCCGGCAGTTGACGTGGATTCTGGTTACAATGCGTGGCTGTCTTATGAGCTGCTGCCGGAGGTGGGCAGTGGACACAGCCCTTTCCGCGTGCGTCTGTGCACTGGCGAAATCAGTACTGCTCGGGTCCTGGATGAGTCGGATGAACCGAGGCAGACACTCCTTGTGTTGGTGAAAGATCATGAAGAGCCCTCATTGAAGGCTACTGCAACAGTGACTGTGTCACTTGTAGAGATCGGGAAGAAGTTTAAAAGTTCTGTGGCTTCCAGGGACCTAACAAAGAGCAGAAGGCCTTGGTGGATGTGAATGTCTATCTGATCATTGCCATCTGCTCAGTGGTGTGGAATCTGTTGCTATATGTGGCACTTCAGTGCTCCTCACCTCCGCAGGGCTTTCATGGGCCTGGGAAGTACACTCCAGTGTATTCAAACACTGTAGGGAACTGGTCTTATTCCCATCAGCAAAGACAGAAGATTTGCTCAGGGAAGGGCGCTGTCAAGAACCATCTTACGGCTTTCAGCCCGAATCTTCCACCATGTCCAGATTCTCAGGATGGAAAACAGGCAGAGCACATGCAGAACTTGGGGAAAGTGAGTGTGACCTTTTACCTTTGAGAATATCTTTTATGTTGATTCAGATATTTAGAAAATTAGCCCATATACCTAAATTTGTTTTTTAAGAAATATAGACATCGGGGTAGCTAGATAGAACAATGGCCCTGAAGTCAGGATGACATGAGTTCAAGGCCTCAGGCCAAACACTTGACACTTACTAGCTGTGTGACCCTGGGCAAGTCACTTAACCCCAATTGCCTAAAAAAAAAGAGACATCTCATATTTCTTTAACATCTAATTTTGATAACATTAAATTTCATTTTCAGTATTGAAACATTTTAAAATTAATTATACATATTGTGTGTGAAGTATGATACCTTTGGGTGGAACAAAGATTAATAGAGAATTCTTGCCAGTGGAGATTTTTAGTCAGTGCATCTTTTTGGAAGCTACTTGACTAATCTTCCTTATGCATAGATCAAATGATGATATTTTCCATGCCGTTCCCCAGATCTTTAGTGGCTCTATTTTTTCCCCATAGAGTTCCAACTTGTTTAACTGTCATTCAAGGTCATTTGGAAGTCAGTAGTTATTCTAACAGTTAATACTTATGTCATGTTACTTTTCTCTACACACTCTGTTCTTTAGCAAGACAATATACTTTGTCTTCCAAACATTCCTTCAGATTTTTAAAATCTTATTGTGTTTGTTTTCTTATTGCATTACCCCTAGAATATCTTTTCTTACCCTATTTGGCTGTTGAATTACTATCCAAAAGAAACCTACCTCTTTCTTTTTTAAAAAATAGTATTTATTTTAACATTGTTCAAAATATAATTTTGAATTTCAAATTCTATCCCTCTTTCCAGCCCTGCTCCCACCCACTGAGAAGGGAAGCAGTATGACATAAATTATACATGTGAAATCATGAAAAATGTACTTCCATGTTAGCAATGTAGCAAAAAGGGAAAAAAATAAGTAAAGTGAAAAATTATGCTTCAATTTGTCCTCAGAGTTCATTAGTCCTCTCTCTGGAGGTGGACAGTATTTTTCATCATTAGTCTTTTTTAATTGTGTTGGATCATTGTACTAATCAGGGTAGCTAAGACTTTCACAGTTCATCATCATTATGATATTGCTGTTATTATGTACAGTTTTCTGCTGTTTTTGCTTACTTTACTCTGTGTCAATTCATATACATCTTCCTGGGTTTTTCTGAAACTATTCTCTTCATAATTTCTTACAGGCAATAGTATTCTGTCACAATCACATACCACAGCTTGTTCAGCCATAACCCTATGGATATTCCTTCAATTTCCGTTTCCTTGCCACTGCAAAAAGAGCTGGTATAAATATTTCTGTACATATAGGTCTTTTCCCTTTTCAAAAAATCTCTTTGGGATTGATGGGTCAAAGGTATGCAAAGTTTATAGCCCTTTGTTTATAGTTCCAAAATTTTCACCAGAATGATTTGGACCTGTTTACAACTTCACCAATAGTGCATTAGTGTACCTATTTTCCACATCCCCTCCAGCATTTGGCATTTTCCTTATCCAGCATATTAGCCAATGTGATATGAGTGAGGTGGTACCTCAGTATTGATTTAATCTGCATTTCTCTAATAAATAATGATTTAGAGTGGATAGAGCACCAGCCCTGGAGTCAGGAGGGCCTGAGTTCAAATTTGACTTCAGACATATAACATCACTAGCTGTGTGACTCTGGGCAAATCACTTAACCCCAATTGCCTCACCCCCCCCCCAAAAAAAGATTTAGAGCATTTTGTCATGTCACATTTGATAAGCTTAGATTACTTCTGATGAAAACTACCTGTTCATATCCTTTGACAATTTATCAATTGGAAAATGGTTCTTATTTTTATAAATTTGACTCAAATATTTGAGAAATGAGGCCTTTATTAGAGAAACTTGCTGTAGAAATCCCCCTCCTCCCAGTTTCCTTCTTTTCTTCTAATTTTGGCTGCATTGGTTTTGTCTGTGTAAAAATTTCTTAAATTCATATAATCACAATTATCAATTATACTTCTCATTATCCTCTTTCTCTCTTGTTTGGTCATAAACTGTTCAATTATCCATAGATCTAACAAATAAAAATTTTCCACCCTCCCCTAAATTGTTTTTGATATTACCTTTTATGTCTAAATCATATATCGATTTTGACCTTATCTTGGTATATGGTTTGAGTCATTGGTTTATGCCTAGTTTCTGCCAAACTGCTTTCCAATTTCCCCAGCAATTTTTTGTCAAATAGTGAATTCTTGCCCCCAAAGCTTGGATCTTTGAAAGGTTTATGAAACACTGGATTACTGTGGTAGTTTACTACTGTGTATTGTGTACCTAATCTGTTCCCGTGATCTACCACCCAGTTTCTTAGCTAGTACCACATTATTTTGATGATTACCACTTTGTGATATAGTTTGAAATCTGGTACTGCTACGTTGCCTTCCTTCACTCCCCCCTCCCCATGATTCCCTTGATATTCTTGACCAAAGCTTACCTCTTTAAAGAAGTTTTCCTGTTTCCATATGTAAGTCCCCATCTTTTCCCCTGACCTCCAATACCAATTTGTTTTACTATCTCCAAAATGTGTTTTAAAATGTATCTTCCTTTTCTGTGTATTATAGTGATCACCTAAATACCATGCACACAGGGATAATGTCTGGTCTAAGCTTTACATGTCTCCATTATTGCATACAGTGCTCTTTAGATGTCAGGTGCTTAAGAAAAGTTGATAAAAGTGAATGTGTTAGTGTAGTGATTGGCCTCTTCTATGAAAATAAGAAGGACTGAGATCAATATTCTACCTGGTTAAACTACTGTTTGCAGAATCTATCTCTTGGTTGTCACCTACCCTTGGGCATTATTGAAATCATGTTCTTTCAACTCTTCTGAAATTTAGATTTTCGGTATCAAATTTCCAACACTACACTATTATGTATGGCTTTCTTTTTCAGACCTGAAACTTCAGATTTGGTTTTGATACATCTCCTAATTATTTTTTTAAAAATGATATTAACTACTTTACTTCAGCCAGTTTGAATGCAGTGATATATTTCTTCTCATTCATTTTGTGCTCTTAGTTTTAATTTTAGCGGCATCTTTTTTTGTTCTTTGTAAATTTAATCATCTAATCACAAATGAATATCTATTTACCATTTAAATTTTTGAAGAGTAATTTTATTGATCAGAAGAGACATATTTCATAAGAACACTCTTAGTAATATTATTTTTAGAAAAAACAGAAAATATTATTGCATTTAGGAGAATCATTTTGTTTAAATAGTTACATTTAAATTGATACCTAATCGCTCTCCTTTTTTTCTAAAAAAAAATAATTAATTCAGATATTATCTCCATGATGGTCACGGAATATTGGCCATTTTGCCAGATCAGGCACATTTCTTCTTGTGCTGAGCACAGACTAGATTGTTAATAAGCTTCTAATGATTGGTCAGAATTATTACTTTTCTTTTTCATGTGTTGCATATCTCTCAACTTTCCTTAGGTCTCTCTAGTTCCTTAAGTTTCCTTATTTGGATGGAAGAAATATTGATGCATAATAATGCTGAGGATATTGAAGATATAAGGATTTTCTTTATCAACTGACAATATGACAACTGTTAATTCTATGAAAATACTAAATGTGAATCTATGAGGCTCAGAATCTGCAATATGTGTTTGTTCTCATGGTATTATGCCAGAAATACTATTCATTAAGATTGGCAGTCATAGAAGCAGTAGTCACTAAATCTAATTCCTCTATAATTAGGTTTTTCTTCTTTCTTTAGAAGCAATAAGAGTGGGGGGATTTGAAAAAAGGGAGAAAGCTCTAAAATTTCATAGTTGATGACCTGACACAAGCACCTTGGTGCAGGCCCTCATCACTTCATGCCAAGAAAGTTGCAATAGTCTACTGGATAGGCCTTCCTGCCACAATATTTTCTACTCATTCACTACTCAGCTGGCAAAGTGTTCTTCCTTAAGTGTAGGTCTGATATTGCCACCCTTAGGAAACTCCAGTGATTCATCATCACCTCCAGAATTAAGTATAAAGTTGAGTATAATCCTCTGTTTAGAATACAAAGCCCTTGGTAAATTGCTCCTCTACTTTTCTAGTCATCTTACACCTTAGACAACCTGTCAACCTCCCTCCCACCTAAATACTCTGAAATCCAGTGACATTGGCTTCCTTGCTGTTCCTCAAACAACACACTCCATTTCTTGGCTGTAGGCATTTTCTCTGGTTGTCCTGCAAGTGTGGAATGTTCTTTCTACTCATCTCCACCTTTTGGATTCTCTAGTTTCCTGTAGGTCCTACTTAGAATTCCAACTTTTACAATAAACCTTTCCAAATCTTCCTTAATACTAGTGCCTTCTGGGGCAGCTAGGTGGTGCAGTGGATAGAGCACCAGCCCTGAAGTCAGGAGGAACTGAGTTCAAATCCAGCCTCAGACACCTGACACCTATTAGCTGTGTGACCCTGGGCAAGTCACTTAATCCCAATTGCCTCACCAAAAAGCAAAAAAAAAAAAATACTACTGCCTTCCCTTTGTTGATGATTTCCAATTTATCTTGAATACAAACTGTTTATAAGTAGTTGTTGGCATGTTGTCTTCTCCAAGAGACTTGTGCTCCTTGAGAACAGGGGCTGTGTTTTCTCTTTCTCTGCATCCTAAATGCTTAGCAAAATAGTGCCTGTCACACAGTGGCACTTAATATTTATTGACTGACTATTTACAAATGCATCATAAATATTTTAAAATGCAAGATTATATTATTCACATTCTTATAATACTAAAGTTTACAAAGTGATTTCCTGGCCCAACTAGCATTTTTTATCTCCAATTAACATGTGAAGAAATGGACTGTGAGAAGACAAGCGATTTGCCCAAGGCCAAGGTAAGTAGCCTTCAGGAATCAGACCCAAGCCTTCTGACTCTTCTGACTGTCCCATCCATTACTCTTCTAGAGTTCTTGTTTAGGGTTCTAATAGGTGCAAAATGTCCACCTCTACAACAGGAAGTACTGAGCTAATTTTCT